CTTCTTTATTATGAAACTATTACGTACGTCTTTCTAGACGATTATACATTACTTCCCTTGCAGGTTTTGGGTTCTTGTTTGTACTATACAATAGGCTCTGTACTATGTACGACATAACGTCAACACTTCTATATTCTTTTTCTTCTCTCGTCTATTTGTTGTATTTTTAGAGATCGTTTTACCTTTTCTATTCGAAACCTATTGTGATTTCTTGACATTAATAAAAGTTATTTGTATTCTTTAGGCACTCCTCTTTTTCGTTCTTCATTACGTAATATCTCGAAAATTATCGATATTTATAAAATAATACATAATATTGTATAAAGAATATACATATTGCTATTCTTTCCAATAGAAGTCGACCTTCTTCGAATCAACATGTGTCCTATATACATAATATAAACAATTGTTATAGAAAACGATGCTTTAATGCAAATTTATATTTCTTTTTCCTTTTTTTTTTCTAGTATTTTTCTTGTTTGTTTTTTTTCGTCTACTTCATTTGTGTGTGTGTATTCATCGATTTAACAAAAATTAAAATAGATGATGAAACAACCAGATGAAAATATTTCAACAACACATTCTGATCATATGATATGTAATGGTCATCAAGATGATTTAATAAAAACTCGTCAAGATTCTGATAATGATGATTCAGCAACAAATACAAGTTCAACATCATCAATTAATGATGTTTTATATACTAATTGTCCTAATATATCATCATCATCAAATTTAAATACAAGTGGAATAATAACAACAACAACAACAACAAATCCAAATGAAATTGTTCTTTCACCTGAAGTTTCATTTAATATTAAAATACAATCACCTGGTTTAGATATATTTGATTTATTGGTAAGAAAAAAAAAATTTTTAAAAAAAAATTAATCAATATAAATATTTTCTTCTAGGTAACATCAAGTGAACTTGTACAAGAAATTCATCAAGTTTTAATGGATAAAGAAGAAACATGTCATCGTACTTGTTTTTCATTACAACTTGATGGAATTATTTTAGATAATTTTTCAGAATTAAAAAATATTGATGGTTTAAAAGAAGGAAGTCTATTAAAAGTTGTTGAAGGTTTATATTTATTTTTTGTTTTATTTATTAAAATAAAATAAAAATTTTTTTTATTTTATTTAGAACACTATACTGTACGTGAAGTACGTATTCATATACGACATATAAATGAATTAATACATGCATGTGATTTAAATGATTTATATAATGGTACAAATAATTATTCATTATGTCTTGTGAATGATATTAATACTAGTGAAACATCTTCATTATTGAATATTGGTAAAAAAAACTAATAGGATTTTATTAATTTTAATTTTTTTTCTTAACGGATTTTCTTTTTAGATCGAAGAAAAGGTAGTGAAACTAATGGAAATGATTCTATTGTACCGGAATATCTTTTACCTAATCAAAAAGATATTCTACTTACACCACTTTTTACGACAAATAATAAAATTAATGTAAATATTTTTTTTTTTGTTTTAGTTCAATTATAGGTTAGATATATTATAATGAAAATAATAAATATATGAAGAACATACATATAGTTTCTTCAGATATTTGTTAGAAATGATCAAGTCTATATTTTAGACATGTATTATGTCAAAGATGACCTTTTCTATAGAGATAACATAAGTTCTTGTCGATACTCTGTATTAATCTTACTTTACAGCTGTTAGTCTGAATTCGTAGAATATAATATAAAGGTTTCCGAATTGATCGATTTCTCAGAAGTTTGATACTTTTCAATTCTGAGTTTTTATTACTCTGTCTATCAATGCCTGGACTTTCGAGTCGAGACTAGTCTGTTTCCATCATTGAGAACTATCAAAATTCTAACAATTCTTCGTAGAAATTATAATAAGTTTGGAATACTCTATCAGAAACTATTGTTAGATTTCATCGAGTTCCTTCAAGTAATTGGAATTGGCTTTAAAAATGTAAATTTTGGTCACTGCCGAAATCTTTATTTTATATTTCATGCATTCTGGCTGCAGCTGAGGAGTAAGACTGCTACAGAGAATTGACAGAGATTTATATTGTCTATACAGAAGAAGGTCATCGCTGACATAATGTTCCAAGGATTGTTGCATGTCTATTATATTTCCTCATTGTCACCGATTGCATTTTCTTCACTCATTCAATCATGTAAAACGGCAACGGATATAAATTAAGGAAATTATTTTTTAACAATTAATATTACAGTTATTCATGATAATTCTACTCATAATACGATGTCTCAGAGAATTACAAAAGACTATTCAAACTTTTTACACATTTCTAATTCAATATATTCGTAATTTTGATCAAATAAAGTCTTAAAATAAATGTCAAATTCGTAACCTATGGTTATAGATCTTAAGCAAACCTTTAAATGTAGACCATTGCTTAGAACTGTCTCAAGACGACAATCCTTCCAATCAGTCTCCTTAGTCAACGACTCCTCATCTAGTTCTAGTGACTTCGGGATAACTCTGCCATCATTAGATAAATAATCTTTGGTTAGCTGTAAAAAAAAAAATAATGTCATTTCAATATATAACTAACAATATGTAAAATTGAATATTTTGTTTGTTTTTTTGTAGCGATTACAATGTATAAAAATGTTATCCTATAGTGGTTGGAATCCACCAAATGGATCAAGAAAATTACATGGTTAATTAAATAAAAGAAAACTTTTTTTCAAATTAAATTTTCTTCTTTTCTCAATAGGTGATCTTATGTATTTAAAAGTAACAACATATGAAGAAAAATCATTTCATATAACAGCATGTACAAAAGGTTTTTATGTTAGTCAGTAAGTAAAACTTTTTTTTTTTCTTTCTTTTATTCATATTATTATGATTTATTTATTTAATTATTTTAAAAAGAACAACAGATGAAAAATTTCTTCCAAAACCGGTGCAACCTAAAGCTATATTTCATTCACTTGTTGATCTATTAAATAATGTAAGATATTAAAATTTAAATAATAAAGATAATATTTCTTTTTTGTTTTTGTATAGATAAGTCCAATTTTTAAAAAAAAATTTCGTGCTATACAACGTAAACGTTGTTCAAAACATCCATTTGAACGTATACAAATTCCATTTCAAATTCATCCATGGTTATCACCACGTTTTGAACATACTATAGATCATTTTCGAGCTGAAGATGGTATTATATGAATTTATGCAAAAATCATTAAAATGAATTTTTTATTATTTTATTTTAGCAAATATAAATAAACTTGGTCATGAAGATCATATACCTGGTCAAGTACGTGATTGGAATGAAGAATTACAAATAACAAAAGAATTACCAAAGAAAAATTTACCTGAAAGACTTATACGTGAACGTGCGATGTTCAAAGTACAAATAACCAAAAACAAAAAATTTTTTTTGTTTTGTTTAAAATTTTTTTTATTTTTAGGTTCATACTGATTTTATTTCAGCTGCTATTCGTGGTTGTCAAGCCGTTGTTGATGGTAATATAATGGCAATTAATCCTGGTGAAGAATCAAAGTAAGTCAAGTTGTTTGTATTGGTTTTTTTTTTGATTTGTCTCTCGATAGATTATGATCTATTATAACTTCTATTAAAAGAGAACCATAAATTGAAAGAGTTGGTTGGTGAAACATGATCTGAAAGGAGTGTTGAAATATAAGAGTAGAAATTTGGACTCTTCCACACAAACTTACGAAGGGACCATTCGGACTGATACCTACCGTTTGAACTTATTTTACTGAATTTTCAACTCAGCTATAAATATATATCAAAAAGCAGAATTTTGCCTATAAATAGGTCGAGTGATTCATAGAATATCGCGAAAGTTTTTTGTTGAGATATCGAATTTCTAAGTAAACTCGATTTTTAAGTCATGCGCCTGTGGTAAGCGATTAATTTTTTTTTCTTCGAAATTCGATTTTGCCATAAAAGAACGTTCATTTCGGCTGAAACTTTCATAATATTCTATTAGTCTTGTGGTCTATCTATAGACGACGAAAATCAGTCATAACTCGGTTTGAAAGGTCAATGAGGACGAACTCTTAGAATTTTGCTAGTCTCATCAAGACGTCTTTGTAGATTCAAATGGTGAGTATCATTTCTAGTGATCTCCTCATTAGTTACTGAACTAAAGTCTTCCGTTGGATTATTATAAAAGAAGATTGAATTTAACATACTTGTTTTTAATCACTGAATCATCTGTTGCCTAATCTCTTGATTTTCAATATATAACAGCTCGATCGTATTTCATATCATTTAAAGTTATAATGAATATCATAACATATTAGTAAAACTTCAAGAAATGATATCTTAATACTCGTTATTATCAGACAATGATGAAGAATGAAACTGACATTCCCAGAAAAAATAACGATCTGTCAGAGAGAAAGTTTTTGTCTGTCTGCAAGTTTTATTATAATGTCAATAAACAGACGAATGATTCATCTCAAACGTTTAACGTTCGAGAAAATTTCCAATATTTTTTCTTGTACTTTCAATTCGAAAAATTCCTTAATAAATTTATATTCTAAATAATTTTTTTCTAGAGTTCATATGTATATATGGAATAATATGTTCTTCAGTCTTGGTTTTGATGTAAAAGATCATTATAAAGATTTTGGTGGTGATGCTGCTGCACATTCAGCACCAGCAAATGATTTACAAGGTGTTCGTGCTATAAATACACTCGATTTAGATGGCTTACATACATTAGGTACTGTTGTTGTTGATTATCGTGGTATGCGTGTTACTGCCCAATCGATTGTTCCCGGTAGGTAATCGTTTTTCTTTTTCTTTTTCTTCCTTTCTTACTATCGGCTATATAAGCGAGAAATAACGTAAAGAAAAATAACAGAAAGAATTATCACGCGTCACATAAGAAACGTATAAAATTATGTTGATATATCATCGTCGACAACGATGGTTATTCTTTGTTTTGATATTTGGAATTTTACTATTAATATATAAATATAATCATATAAGAAAATATTCTCTTACTGATGAACATCGTATATTTACTTCATTACTTATTGAATTACCACATATTGAACGTTTAATACGTATGAAACAAGTAAATTTAACTTTAATACAAAATCGTTTAAATAAAGTTGAAAAATATTTAACAAAATATACATGGCATTTAAATCGTTTAATTAAAACAATTGATTATAATAAACAAGAAGAAAAGAAAAAAATTTTTCGTTTTAATTCATTTGATTTAGATTTAGAAAAAAATATTCATAAAAATTATACGAAATTTCTTGTCTGTTTTCATTTAATTAAAAGTTTAAATGATGATATTGATTATCAAATTTTAAATGAATTTCATTTAAAAATTTCGACAATTAATAGTCCTTATATAACATTAAATAAAAGTGAAGCTTATTTAAATGTTATTTATTTACCAATACGATCATATCAACGAAATATATGTTATAAAGATTTAATTAGTGAAAACTATTTTGTTTTATATGAATTTTTAAATCCTATCGATGAAGATATTGATGAAAAATGTTTTCATGGAAATTTTCTTCCTGTAAAATTTTTTACTCAATTTAATACAAATCAAACATACGTTAATAATGATCATTGGCGTTTGAATGATGAACAAAAACCATCAATTGGGATTATTTATTTAAATACAACTTGTAAGTTTAAAAATTAATTTTAAATGTTCTGAAAATTAAGTTCATAAAATGAATGATATAGAAGTTTAGGGAAATGAGAATACAGCTAATAAGTTTTAGTCTCGAGTCGAGATTGAAAAAAGTTATCGTAACCGAAACTCAAGATTGTAGCTAAATTAGCAAGAACTCGTGCATACTGCACGACAGTTTTCTCCTTTAACGTTTGACCTTAGACGTTTAACGTTTCATCTGGTAACAGACATACAGACGTCCGATATTATGTATATAGATAGATAGCCCTACGATCTCATACTCTTATATCGCACATGTTTCTATAGTCCAGATAGCCTTCGGCCTTATCTCCTTATTGATTTACCCCTTATTACCTACCCTCTTATTGCCTTACTCCCTTGAGGGCCTATGCGTATCTCTATATAATAGTCCTCAAGGACCTATGGATACCCCCATAGGATAGTTCTTAAGGGCCTATGGCTACCTCCATATAATAGTCCTTGACGGCCAATGGGTATCCTAGTATAGTAGCCTTTGAGCCTTCCACTTATAGCCTCATTTGACTTTCAGCCCGGCATAGACAGACAGACATTGAACATTATATGTATAGATGTTCTATGATTTTAAGTAAACTATCTTATAAATCATACGGACTAAATAAAATCACTATTATTGACGCAAAAATATGAGGCAGGCCAATGTTTTTTTTGAATAAATTTCGATAGGAACAAGAAGGAGCACTGGGGATTTCACTATAATCACAAGAGAACATTCAGAACCATTAAATCAGCTAAAATTTGATTGATTCAGCAATTGACCAATCAATTGAACTTTTCCAGGATATTTTGAAAAAGAGTTTCTAGAAAATTATCCTGTTGGATTTCTATCTACATAGAGCTATCATCTCTAACATGTTCTGCACAAGAGCTATAAAGGTTTTCAAGAGATTCCGATTTCGGAGACTAATGATCTTAGAACACTCCGAACGAGACCAAGACAGGAACAATTAATCATACTGGGTCAAGTGGAAATGTTTATTTTTAGTTTTAAAACGATCTAAAAGTATTATATAAAGATCTTTAAAATAATGATTCTCGACGATATAGTAGCAAAATTTCAGATAACTATTTTAGATCATTTTAAAATTGAGAACAAATATCACTGGTTCATGCAGCATGATGAATTATTCTTGCCTTAACATCTTTCAGAGTACTCTAAGGTTATTAAGCAGAAATTGCGGTCTTGAAAAAACTCTTGAACATAACAAGTTAGACCCGTCGGCTTTGTATAGATCGAACGATTACAGCATAAGTCGAAATCCAACTGAATAGGTTTTTAGACAACTGTTTTCAAAATCTCACCTGATTGGTCAATTGCTGGATCAGTCAAATTCGAACTGATTTTGTAGTCTCTTTTTGAATAATGAAATTCACAGGTTTCTATCTCACGTCTATCGAAATTTATTTAAAAAAAAACAACGTTGATCTACATGATATTTTGGCGTCGATAATAGTAGTCAAGTAGTTTTTAAATTCGATGCGAATTTTCTTTTTTTTTCTTTGAATTAAAAGAAAATAATGTAATTTCATTTTAGCTACTATTGCTACACGTGAATATGATCGATTACAAAACGAATATGAAATAATCATTGAATGTTCTCATCGATCTTGTTATCAAACAATTTTCAATAAAAATATTTCTATTATATCTCTTATATGTTCTTCTATATATTCTATTTCAATACAATATGAATTCTATGAAATATTTTTTTATTTACTTTCACAACAAATTCATATAAATCTTTTTAATTGTGAAAATTATCTTCCATATTCAAATGTAATTGATTGGTTACATCCATCATCATCTTTATCATGGTTATATACAATTTATTTTCAAACATTTCAACATCGTTTTCATACATTAATTGCTTATTTACGTACATATTATCGTTTACCAACATTATCAAATGAATTAAAATTTATTGAAATAAAAAATCAATTAATAAAAGAAAAAAATTTCTATTATTTAATTCATTCACGAAATATTAATTTTACTAAAATGCCAATTGGTTTAATGGATAAAATTAATTTTCAATCAAACAAAAACAAATATTCAATATATAATGAACCAACATTTTATGATCAATGGAATCGTTTATATCAACCATTTTATCGTTCAAAAATATTAACTAATCCATTTGAAATATCATCTTTCGAAGAAAAATATACTATTATTATTTTAACACATAAAAAACGTTTTTATCAATTAAATCGTTTATTATTACATTTAAATGGTTTAATAAATCTTGATCGTATTATTGTTTTATTTAATCAAGTTGATTCTATAGAAAATTTTCAAAATAAAAATTTTTCATTACAAAATTTTCTTGATAATTATTCAATTTATTTACCATCAATACATGTTGAAATAATTTATATATTTAATTTATCAAATAATTTAAATAATCGTTTTTTACCATGGAATGAATTTATTTATACAGATTGTATATTATCATTAGATGATGATAGTTTTTTACGACATGATGAAATTGAATATGCATTTCGTATATGGAAAGAAAATCGTTCACGTCTTATTGGTTTTATTTCACGTTCACATAAATCTGATACATTAGAATATGATACATCATCATCATCATGTACATATTCAATGATATTAACTGGTGCTGCTTTTTTACATCGTTGGTATTTAGATTTTTATACAAATATAATGTCTAAGCAAATACGTCAATATGTTGAATTACATATGAATTGTGAAGATATAGCTATGAATTTTTTAATAAGTTATTTATCAAAACAAACACCTATTAAAATTGGACATCGAGAAACATTTTATTGTTATAAATGTCAAGAAAGTTTATCAAGTAAAATTAATCATTATAATCAAAGAACTGAATGTATAAAATATTTTTCTAATATATATCGTTTAATACCATTATATTATTCAATTTATCGTATTGATAATTTATTAAATATAACATCTTGTCTTTCATAGAAATAAATAAAGATAAAAAAAAAAAAAAAGAAAAAAAAAAACATTCTATTGTTAATTATTTTTATTTTAGGTATTCTTGAAAAAGAACAAGAACAAAGTGTTGTTTATGGTTCAACAGATTTTGGTAAAACTTGTACAACAAATGAAAAATATAAAGAATTATTAGATAAAGTTTCGACTATGCTTAAAATTAAACCACATACAATTAAAACAGAAAAAGGAGATTCTATAGAATTATTAACAGCTGTCGAATGTAAAGGTATTGTTGGTAATGATGGAAGACATTATTTATTAGATTTATTACGTATGACACCATCTGATCTTAATTATTTACCAGGTAAATTAATATTCATATAACTTTTTTCTATTTTAAAACATACGAATAAAGTCAAAATACAACGAAAATAGCTAATTAAAAGGTTATAGAAAGTATAGATGTAATCAGCGACCGAAATCATTTTTAATTGGTAAAAATTCGTCCCTAACTGATGTTTTAAAAGGTAGATATTTTAAACTGATTACTGTTATTTTCACACATTATCCACATTGGATAGCAAATTTCACACTAATAAAATTACAATTTGCATATTCTTTAAGATGGAACTCAAACACAGAAGGATGTTGGTGGTAGAGCTCTTCGGGTTGATTCCGGGCCTGCTTCAGTCCGCATCTGAAAATTCTCTGTTGTCGAGGTCCGGATCCGAAAATTTCAAACCCCATAGGCTGTAGTTGGTGAGGGTGTGACAGTGAGTGGGTTGATAAGTTTTTTAAACATCTACACCTGCACTTACACTTCCTGTGACCATATTAATGGCAATTAATTAGAGACAAATGTAAAGATGATGAATTTATTAGAGATGTATATAGCCCCAGTCAAAGCGCTGCCATCAGTTCTGATTACTATCTGAATCCGGATCCAGAAATTCTTGGACTCGATGGGCTCTAGTTCCGATATCGATACGTGTTTTATATCGGTCTATCGTCTGGTATACACTCTCTTTTTCCTCAGCGTATATTTGAATTATCTAGAACGATAGAGCAAATAATTTTCTACAAAATGAAATGTTTTTCAATTCTCTACGATGTTTTTTGATCGACATACATCAATCTTATGGAAAGATACACAAAAATGATGTTATCATATAAAATAGCAGAAAAAAACCACTTTGCATAAACCTGGTCGAATAACTTCGGAAGTCACTGTATATTAAAAATGAGTGAAGATAACCGCTATTGACCGACTAAAGAGGTGATAAATTATGCAAAATTCTCCTGACATCTCATAATCGATTATTACGGAATATAATAAAATATTTATAACGAGCAAAAAAAAAAACATATTCAGTTTAGAAAATCGAATTATTCATGATGAATATTTGTAAATATTTTAATTATGTTATATATATATTTAGTTGATATTGAACATTTATCACCATCTATGAAACAACTTGATTATCCAAAAACATATAAACATCGTTTATGTTGTTTAAGACAAGAATTAATCGATGCTTTTGTGGAGTAAGCTTCAACTTTTCTTTTTTTTTGTTTTTTTAAATTAAAATTTATTAATATTGTTTTTTTTGATATCTAGACAAAAATATGTTGATTTTTATCGTTCAATTGCACTTAATTTATCAAAATTACGATCTAATGAAGTATGTTTTTATTTATTATTAATTACAAAAAAAAAATTTTATTATATTAATAAATAATCTTAGTCAACATCAAATGAAACTACTGAACGAACAAATGTCGAAGAAGCTAAACGTATAGTCAATGAAATTAGTGGTAAAATATATTAATCAATAAAATAAACATAATTAATTAATTAATTTTATATTCATTTAGTTGAAGATAATAGTCGAGAAATCATTCAATCAGCATGTCGTTCAATTGGATCAGTTAAAGATAATGAATTTGATGTTCGTTTTAATCCTGATTTATTTCAACCATATGTAACACTTAATCAAACGGTAATCAAAAATCAAAACTTTTTTATTATTAGAATATTTATTTTGTTTTATCTAGCCTGATGAAACAGCAGCTGATATAAAATTACTTAAAGAAGCAGCTGAATATTTAGTATTAAAACAAATTCCATTAATGATACAAGATTTTCAAGATCATTCAGCTGTACCTGTCGATGGTGAAAGTCTTTCAGAAGCTATGCATTCAAGGTAAGAAAAAATTGAAATATTTTAACAAAAATCAGTAAATATAGACATTCAACACGATTATTTTAGTTATTTTTTCTCAATGCAAAATCATTGAGTTCTCACAATGTAATCAATTGTTTTTTAAATAAGTCTTATCTCATTAGGTAGAACATTTGAAACTAGAGAAGATCGAAAAGCATTTGTATCTATTGAATTATGGTTACTTTATTGATGTTTGCAACAGAATATTACAGCCTCCGTCTCAGATTATCATACACATAATTTGCCCAAATAAAATTCTCAATAGGAACTCGTTCATTATGAAAGTATTCGGTTATCTAGTATCTCCTATGCAAATTTTGTGGACAATGATCTAGGTCGGAGGCTACAGAATTATGTTGAAAGATTCAATAACTAGAGTTTTCTCTAGTTTCAAAATAGTCCTACCTAATGTAGAGCCCGTCGGATTGATCTCGAGTATGGTTCGGATCGGAAAATTTTCTCTTAACCAACTCCAGGTCTGGAAATTTTCTGTGTACGGGATGTGAAAATTTTGGACTCGATCGGCTCTAACTAAATAAGATAAGATTCCTATCAAAAGTTTTTGATTACTTTATGAAGTTCTCTCATAAGTTTACTTTTCAAAATTTAGTCAATAGAGAAATATTCCTTTGTGTTTATTTAGAGGTATTAATATTCGTTATCTTGGTCGAGTAGCTCATCTTCTTACTCAACAATCTTCTCTAACATATATCTATGTAAGTAAATCTTTTAATTGTCTACATGTTTTATTTGAAATTTTTTTTATAAAATTTTTATTTAGGAAATAGTTATAACTGAAATTCTTTGTCGAAGTGCAAAACATGTATTTCGTACATATTTACAATCAGTACCAATTCATCTTTTATCATATTCAATAAGTCATTTTCTTAATTGTTTTCTAACAATTATATTATTACCAACAACAGATTATACATTCGATGAATTAGCATCATTAACTACTCAATCAACAAATAATACATCAAATGTATCATTATCAAATTCAACAAATATTTCATCTCAAAAAACAAATACTAAAAAGAAAAATAAAAAACAACAGCAACGTAAACATAGTCCAACGATGAGAAATGGTAAAAATTTCAGAAAGCAAAAAAAGAAAATATTCATTTCTTGCTTTTAGAATCATTAGAATTTTCATTGTTAACTTCAAAAATACTTTGGTCACAAATAAATAATGAAGCAAAATCAAGATATAATTTTGATTTAAGTTGGTAATGAAATTTATAATTATTTATTTTTAATATAGAAATATCATGCAGTATTTGATTGAGTTCGATAGTTCGATGTTGAATATTTCCAGTAGATATTTTGTCTATAGACACTCGATAAGTGTTTAGTTTATTTAAATTGACTATAAAAATATCTTCATGGCGCAGAATCAATAATAAAACTGTACAAATGGCGCTTAGATTTTCGATGGTAGGACATCGCAAGATTTGACAGTTTCCTCCATCTTCTGAAGATATTCTCATTTTTTTTCAAAGCACACAACTAGAAATATAAAAATGAATGATTTCTATTAGGAATATGTATTTTGACATAGTCTATATAGATTCTTTACTTTAATCGATATTATGAAAATGAAAAAAAAATGATTGTAATGCATGTCGAAGATGAAGAATATGTCTTAGAGGTCGACGAGGTCTTACATTTTTGGATCTAAACTATATTCCTATTTTCAACGAAACTTTTTGGTTTGAATCTGATAGCCGTTTTGAATTCTGCTAGTAACACATCCTACACATTTCTCAGATAATCTTAATGATAATCTTATAAGAATCAAGTCACAAGTGATTGTTACTTTATGATCTGTTGAATCAGTCTCGGATGTGGGACCAACCCGATCTATGTATGTTTGTATACGAAGATAGTAAGCGAGACTTTTTTGTATATAACACAACGAAATATCATTATAATGCTGACCAAAACTGATTAATCACTTTGAACTTGGGACTATGTACGTCATGTAGATGCTAATATGTTATGAATACTGTTGAAATGGTTCGGACTTATAGCTTATTTTTACCCACATATTGCATTTTTTGTGGTGTTTTTTTTCCAATATTCAATGCCGTGATTTCATCACGAAAACTTATATGATCTATTCTTATCCTGAAATAAGAATGTCGAATCTACTGTTGAATATGCACGATGTAAAAGACGCATTTTTACCATATCTGTATCTTGTGACAAGAATCTATATATATAATATTCAGTGTCTGTCTGGATGTGCCGGGTAAAAGGTTAAAGGTCAAATAAGGCTATAAGCGAAAGGCTCAAGGGATACTATATTAGGATACCCATAGGCCCTCAAGGACTATTATATGGAAGTAGTCATAGGTCCTCAATGGCAATTATATGGCGGTACGCATAGACTCTCAACGGAGTAAGGCAGTAAGGAGTAGGTAATAAGGGGTAAATCAATAAGGAGATAAGGCTAGAAGAGCTACAAGGAATATAAGGCTATAAGGCCGAAGGCTATCTGGACTAGAGAAATATGTGCGATATAAGAGTATGAGACCGTAAGGCTATCTATCTATATACATAATATCGGGTGTCTGTATGTCTGTTACCAGATGAAAAGTTAAACGTCTAAGATCATACGTTAAGGGAAGAAACAGCCGTGCAGTATGCACGAGTTCTTGCTAGTAATGAAAATATTTGAAACTTTCACAATAAACTGTTTTTGTGAAACCTCAGTTCTATGTAAAGTTTCAAGTAGAAATTCGAAAATGCGTTTTTCTAGAAGGACTGCGACATAGTATTGAAAGACTCCATACAAATACAATACGTCGGTATCAATAAACAATGAACTCGAGCTATCTTCGGAATATTCATAACTCATTAGGGTTTACATGATGCGCATGCTTTCGACTTAAAAGTCATTAATCCAAGGAGGAACTTCCCTCGTCATAGTGTATCCCTATGACGAAGTAACATTTTCAGCTGATCAATCGCATTTGAATTCAGATTCTGTGTATAAGGTAGACTCCAGTGAGATGATATGAAGCACCTCAAAAGGATAAATTAATGCATAAGAAAAATCTCGACATAACAAATAAAATACAAAAAAGTTTCTCACTCTCAAACATTTTACATTTGAATCATTTTCAAGTATCGTTTGCTTCTGAATAACAAAATTATAAATTCTGCTTTTCATTGTTTATCTTAGTGATGATATTGAATCATTTGTTGAAAATTATGCTATTCGTCGTACATGTATTTTACGTTCATTTTGTCGAAAAACTGGTTTACAAATAACTATGCGTGAATATCAATTTGAATCAATAAATAAATCATCTCGTTCTAATAATAATAATGAATGTTTTAATGAAAATGATATAATTAATATATTTCCAATAATTAAACATATTCCACCAAAAGTAAAAATTAAATTCTTTAAATAAATAAATTTACACATTTTTATTTAGCCAAGTGATGCATATCAATTTTTTACAAGTGGACAACAAAAAATTCAACAAGGTTTACTTCGTGAAGGTTTTGAATTAATATCTGAAGCACATAATTTATTAAATAATGTTTATGGACCAATGCATCCTGAAATTAGTATGTGTTTGAGATTACTTGCAAGATTAAATTATATTATGGGAGATTATCAAGAAGCACTTATAACACAACATAAAGCTGTTATGATGTCTGAACGAGTTTTAGGTATTGATCATCCACAAACAGCAACAGAATATGTAAGAATTTTTCTTTTTTTTATAATAAAATAGAATATTAAATCAAGAAAAAAAAAATTATTTTTTTTTCAATTAGATTCATATGGCTTTATATTCATTTGCAAATGGTCTTTCAATAAATGCATCAAAATTACTTTGTCGTGCTCGATATATTATATTAACATGTTGTGGTGAAAATCATCCGCAAATTAGTCTTATTGATGTAAGAGAAACACATATATATTTTTTTTCTAATATATATCATTGAATATTTTTTTATTTTAGAGTAATCTTGGATTAATTTTACAATCATATGGTGATTATGAAAATGCACTTAAATTTATGGAAAAATCACTTGAATTAAATAAAACGTAAGTTATGGATTTAGTTTTTTTGAATGAAATATTCTAACTATGTCAAACATGACGAATTGATTTTCCTCTTGATTTCAATTCTCCGCATGAGAACAGAAATGAATTCACATCGAGTTATCGTGATTTCCTAAAACCTAATTTTTTAGTTCGATATATCATCAGCAACAAAAATCTTCGAATTCAAATTTGATCTTTTGTTTTTTTCGAACTTTATCATTACAGTTTTTTTCAATATTTATTTTAGTTTCTATGGAACAAAGAGTCTTAAAGTAGCTCTATCTCATCATCTTTGTGCACGTATTCAATCATGTCGTGGAGATTTTCGATCAGCATTAAATAGTGAACGTGAAGCTTATCAAATATATAAATTACAAGTAAACATATGAAACAAATAAACTATTGAAATTGATTTCTATCGGTTTAATCTTTTTCTCTCTTAGCTTGGTGATGAACATGAAAGAACACGTGAAAGTGCTCAAGTACTTAAACATTTAACTGAACAAGCCGTTGTTTTACAAAAACGAATCAATGATGTTGTTAAAGGTCAATTACTTGTTATACCGAGTTTAACTGTAAGTATTCAAATTTTTATAGACAAAAGTATTGTGAAAATGTGCCTGGCACATACTAACTAGAGAGCTGCGGGTCCATGTTTTTTTGGACCCGGGCCCCGGAAAAACTAAATTTTCAGACCCGGACCCGGCTGAGTCTAGACCCAGACCCGGCCGGGTCTAGACCCGATCCTCTTTTCACCAATATTTGACACCCTATGTGTACATGAACAGAAAAGGGAACACAATTTTAGCTCTTCATTGGAGACTTTAAAGGTCAAATGAGTGTAAAATTATTTCTAACTGTTGCTTTTTCAATTTTGTTAACTTCAATTGTTATTGTTATATATTTCCATTCATAACTTAATGCAGATCGGGTCTGACTTTCCTCTTAGGTTTAGACCCGGACCCGGTCGGACCCGGGTCTGGAAGGATCCGCAGCTCTCTAATACTAACGCTGATGAATGTGTAAGTCAATGGCGAAACTGTACAGTACAAAAAGAATTATGATAAATGGTATCTGTTTTTACTTGAAATTTTCTAAGATCCGAAATGTTGTCTTTTGGATTATTTGTTTTTTTTATCAAAGATATGATTCATCCGAAAGATGAGCTTATTTGCTGAAAGACAACGATCTTTGGATATCTCTGAAGAGTACTCGATATCAACTTGATGATCATTGACATGCAATTTTTTGTTTAGTATAAAATCCTTTTTTGAGACTTGTAGGTGACTATGTTTAATTGTTAATGAAATTTCTCTAAAAATTTAAGTTTAGTTTATTGAATTAAACTCTTCCGAGTCTTCTACTGTGTTTCATTTATTTTTATCAGTTTTAACTATAAGAGTTTTTCAAAACGATTTGAGAGAAGATTTTAAAAGTCCAGAAATAATGTCGAACTCAATCTTTTACGATTCTTTTTAGTTCAAAATCCTTAAAACAAGCATATTTTGATGTAAATATAAAGTCTTCTATTCTCGCAAAGGGATTTATTACACACTGATGATTTCCAAAGAATACTATATAGTTTATCTTCAGATCAATGATCACAATTCTAAAAATGGTTGATGAACATCAATGAAATTATTTAGTGTAAATAGCTGAAATATCGTAGAGGCATCGGCTACGCTTTCTTTTCAAAAGAACAATAGATACCATCCATTATAATTCTCTTTGTTATGTAATCACTATGGCTAACGAGATAATCTTTTCAACTGTTCCCTTCCGATTTCAACTATTTTTTTCTAGAGACTTCAGGTTTTCTGGAAGTTCATATTTTCGAATTTTAATCTGAAAATTTTGCCCGTATGCAGAACTCAAGTAGACTAGTTTGCATTAAAAATTTCAGAAGTTTTGAACAAAATCTCTTCGAGATATAAACTCATTTTACATGGATAATGTATACAATATGCATTGTGTGAAAACTTAATATCTCGAAAAGACTTTGTTCAAAAGTCTAGTTGATTTCTCTATATGCATAAAATTTCAGATCAAAATTCGAAAATACGAGTTTTCCGAGAATCTGAAACCTCTAGAAAAAACTATGTAGTATCTATAGACAAAAAAGTCATTGAGATCGGAAGGAAATCAGTTGAAGGAGTTCCCTCCTGAATGGGTATTCTTTCTTCCTCTTTGTTACGCAGGTAATCGAGCTGCGACTTTATGTCCGATCTACATTCTCAGCAGAGTATATGCATAAAAATTTATAGATTTCGCACATGTATGATAGTTGAAATCCATTTCACTATGAAATTTTTCTTTGATAAAAATATTCAATAAAATAAATTTAGATTCAACAACCAAGTTTTCAAAATGTCTTAGAAATGCTTAATGTTGTTAATGGTATTCTATTTATTCAAATACGAGAAAAAGATCTTGATTTACTTCGTGAAGAACTTGCTAAACAATCAATTGATGATCAACAATCATCAACAACAACATCTTCAGTGACTACTATATCAGAGGCAGCTAATCAAGCAGCAGCATTATTAAATAATGAAATTGATTAAGACATATAGGCGATTGATTTATTCGCCTTTCAGTCTGATAGTTTTTCTTTTTTTTTTTCTTTTTGTAGTTTCTAGGATAATTTTTCTTTTTGTTGTCTAGTCTTTTTCTGTAGACGTTTGTTTCTTGTTTAACGTAACACATTAACCTATTGACAGAGTGATTAAAATCATTTTTCTTTTGTTCGTGTATTAAGTTCGACTAGGCAAATGTGTCATTTGTTCTGCTAACTGATGATTGGAAAATATTATTTTTCAATTTCAGTATTCAGTCTACCTCTGGTTTGTTTGTCGTTCTTTCATTTTATTTGTTTTTTTTTCTTCTTCTTTTGCTATATTACATTGCTATTGATAAAAATAATAGCAATGTTATGGTTCTTTTTTTTGTTTGTTTGTTTGTTTGTTTTTGGTCCTAAAACTTGTGCTGTTTATTGATCGATTTGTTTAGTTTAAAAATGTAAGAGACAGTTGAGAAAAAGAAGAAAAAAAAACTAACAATGATTTTTTTTGTGCCAACTATTTTTCTCTTTAAAAATATACCGAAAAGTAAAATTGATATGAATTTTATATATATGATTAAACTCCAAAGAAACATGTTGAATGTAATATACTAAAAAATTCAAATGATTCTCATCAACTTATTGGATAATGAGCAGGGCAATCGCGTAATAACACACCACTAGAACAAGATCTTATTGCAAAAAACGAAACAAACCATTGAGTAAAAACATAATTTTAGTTTTCTTGAAATATACATTCATTCTATTTAATCAAAAAGTCCATAAATAAATATTTCGTCTATACTTTAAAAACTCGCTTAACAGAAGACATCATGTTTTCAAGTTTAAATTTCAATTCGAATATATGTGAACATACTAGAACCTGCTGGGTTAGTCGCGAATCCAATTGCATTCGAATCCGAAAATTTTGAACTCAACAGGCTCTTGAACATACACTAATGCCTTTCGATATGAATTTTCTATTAGTAATAGAAAAATAAATTATATGTCATAGTTCATCGAGAATCATGTTTTCGTTTTAATAATATAAAATAACAAAGAAAGAAAAAAAGAGATAACTACGCGTGTGTATATAATAATAATAACAAGAAGTATCTGACTTAATATATAAAATAATAAAACATAGAACAATATTAAAAACTAACTAATACAAGTGATATAAGATTATAAAGAACAAAGACATAACCAATATGAATTAAATATAATGTACGAGAACGTTGTTGATCAGATTTTTTTGTAAAAAATACATAGTTCCAATCATTAAACTAGAAAAAAAAAGAAAAATGATAACTTTTAAAGATATCTCAATCATAAATAATAAGCTAAACAATTTAAAATAATCCCTCGACTGATTCATTTCATATTTTATAAAATATTAAGCATAATTTCTAATAAAAATAAAAAAACTTACAGCATGAAATCCACATAGTATTCCAGCAGTTAACATAGCACTAAGATATTGATGTTTGCGAATATCAAATGCAATTAATAATATATTTAAAAATATAGAACTTAATAAAGTTCCTACATTTGCCATAAAAATAGCCATCCGATGATCACATACATCATCGCCTTCTTTCAATTGCATTGCTTTCAACCATTGTTTCTGAAAACCTATTGTTGAATGCCATATAGAACCAAGAAACATATTTATACCAATAATTAAAAGAATTTTTACTAATGATGTAAATGTAAATGATATTGGTAAAAGTTCCAACATTTCTTTGTAACAAAAATAAAAAAATAATCAGCAAGTAGTAATCGAATTTAGAGATAAAAGTTTAGAATAATTTTACTATGTATGATCTTTGTTAAAGTAATATATTGGACTCTTTTAAAATGTGTTTAGTACGTTTAGAAAAATATTTTTGATTGAATGAATAATGATAATTAATGATAGAAAGTTAATAATTTGAGAGAGAAAAAAAAATTATTTTAAAAAATTTTTCGTAATTTAAATGAAAAGAGTTCACTACAATCAATGTAAATAAGATTTTCGATTTATAATCAAAATAAAATATCAATATTTTTTCAAAAACATCCTTATAAATAAATAAGCTATATTCTACCCGATTATTTCGAATGATTTTTCGCATAAATAAGCTTTGTCGAACTATGAAAAATTTACAAAGAGTTCGCTCTCAAGAACGTTCCTTAACGAATTTTGAATTGTTTGAGTATTTTCTATGTACATGAAAGTAATTGCAAATGTTTTTTTGGTGACTATTAAAAGGTAGAAGGTTGCAAAGCTTTTTGAACGTGAATTTAATGATAACTAAATTTTATTAGAACTTCCAACGTTTTTTCTTCAGTATCATTTCTATTAGAACATAAACTGCTGATCTTCATGATTTTTACATGTAGTCGAGTACACAGTATGCAACAGCACAATAAATACTTGTACTTCGTGAGAAAACCATGGTAAAATTTTAAGATTTATCATCTGCAAAATTCTTGAGGTTGCAACATGAGAAAGTCTAGTATAATCTAGTTATTATTAATTTCACTCTCAAAAAGATTTACAGTATCCTACCATTTAATAGTCATCAAAAACCATTTGTCATTACGTTCACGTGCATGAAAAATACTTGAACAACTCAAAACTTGGTAAGGAACACCCATAGACACAAACTGTTTGGAGACTTATGAGCAAAATATCAGTTCAAAAGTACAGTACTGCACGAGTACACTTTTCGGACTCATATATTCGATCCGAACAGAAATTATTTACCTGATTCGTGGGTTGCATTATTGCAACACATCGCTGATAGTTTCACAGAACGGTCAATTAACTATATAATTGATCGTTCTGTAGCATTAAAGACACGTCGACTCATGAGTTATAGTACACTACTTGAAAGGACACGGACACCTGGGAATATTATTTCGTCTGTAGTGAAAATACGAACGCCTCCTACCTTCTCGCACTTTTATTTATGTCCTTGATACAAGTTGTTATGAAGAGAAATAATCTAGAGCTTAGTTAATATTCTTTATCAAAATACTTGAATACTATCTGCGATATCATAATCTGAGACATGCAATAATGATGAAAAAGTATTATAATACCATGTTGGTTGAATATCATTAAGTCACAAGATAAGTTTTTCATGTAAAATTTTATCATTTGAAAATTATGAGAAAAAAAAATTGTTCAATCTTAATCTTTAAATCGAAATAATTGAAGTTGTCTTTTCTTTAACATAATTGATTCTACAGTATTTTGTTATTTTTGTAGTATGAAAGTATAATATTCATGTCATCGTACTTCATTGATATAATATTCTAAAAAAGAGATTTGTCAACAGTCTATGTTGAAAATTTTATAATGTTGTTTTTTTATTTGCGTTGATATTTATTTTTTGATAAGATAATATTTAAACGTACACGAATAAAGAACTCAGCATAAATTGTAATGACAAACGAGAAAGGTAAAAACTGAAAAAGAAAAAACATATTCAATATTTTCATGAAAATTTCATCAAAAATTAATTAATTATAACAAAATCATTTTATGGGCTGCATACACTTTAAAGTTAAACCAAATGCGTCGGAAAAATCCAAATCAAATTTATTACATACGAATACTGTTCAAGATATATCAGGTGACTTAAACATATCAAAAACATCTTCGATAGTCGTTTATAGAAATCCATCGTTTATACCAAGAAAATCAATTGTTTCATCGATCATTTCAAATAAATCAGAAGATTTAACACCACGTGTAGAATCTGTCATATCAACTGTATCAAATGATTCTCAAAATAATATTAATAAAGAAACTTCAATCGATCCGAAAGAACCTCGAATATCTAAAGAAAATATTTCGAATATTCCTCCCGTAGATATCAATACTCCTGTTACAACGAATGAATCACATCGAATTTATCATCCTATCAATTCACCATCAAATCGCTCAGATACTGTAGTATATCGTCATAATGCTAACGATCAATTTTTATCTGCTAGAGCAAACAAATTCAATACATCTCCAGAATCAATACATAACAATAATTATATCGAATCAGATACGTCTTTTCCTACTCATAATAGTATTATCAGTACAATATCGGCCGACTCTGAAGGATCGGTAGTATCTCAAATAGAACCCAAAAAAGGTATATTCGTTCGTCCGAAACAAGCAAATGTTCAACAAAAACCTTCTAGCGAATCAGATGAGTCCGAACTACAACATGAAAAACGTGATAATTCAGCAGTCGTAGATGTAACAGCGATGACAGAACATCTGATGACAGTTATGAGAAGGACATCTACTAAGTTAAACACCTCAGATTTTTATCATAGTGGATCTCTTAGTGAAACAGAAAGTGGTACGGATGAAGTTTAGTTAAAACTATTAGCAACAATTGAGCAAGCAAATGAAAGATTTTTTTATTGATCATTATAGAAGCATTTGTTTCTCATGGCCAATCAATAATATATTGACTCGCAACATCGTTTTGCTTTTTTATTTTATAAAAAAATAAATAACATAATTTTTCTTGGATGAAAAATTATTATAAGATATTTGTATGGTAAAATTATGAAATAAAATATTCTGCTGTGTCTAGCGTAAAGAATAAAACACCATATTTCGATGAAGAATACAGTAGCAAATGTATAAAATTATCTAGAAATATGCAAGAATACAGAAAAATATCAACTACGCTTCTTATCTATGGATATTGAGAATTTCGTGTTTTAACTAGTGATGACGTCAGGAAGCTGAGTAGAATCCAGTGATTCAAAAAAAAAGCGGAACCGTTAAATCATTAGATAGATACAAATATTCTTAAATCTATGTTAACAAATCTTCATTTTTTTATTCTTGAGACTAAACATTTCAGTATATATGCATTATATTGTTTTGTTTAAGTGCTGAAATATATGACGTCTTTAATCTCAAGGATTTAGCAGTGAAAATTTTTCAAAATAGATTTAAAATTTTCGTATCTATCTGATAATTTAATAATTTCGGTTTCA